GGCAATTTGATCTCTGGTTCCTCTGCCTTTTCTAAAACCAGCTTGAACATCTGGAAGTTCATGGTTCACATACTGCTGAAGCCTGGCTTGGAGAATTTTGAGCATTACTTTACTAGCATGTGAGATGAGTGCAATTGTGTGGTAGTTTGAGCATTCTTTGACATTGCCTTTCTTTGGGATTGGAATGAAAACTGACCTTTTCCAGTCCTGTGGCCACTGCTGAGTTTTCCAAATTTGCTGACATATTGAGTGCAGCACTTTCACAGCATCATCTTTAAAATACTACAAATGAAGTAAGAGTCCTTTACTTGATATCAATTTTGTAATGAGTTCAGCGGGATCACTTGCCCTGGGATAATACTGAGTGTCAGTTTACCAATCTAAGTTTCTTTCAAGACAATCACAAGTATCATACACCTAAAATGAATTAAATCTTTTTCTTTTTATCATGAGGATTATTTCCTGGGATATATCAGGAGAAGCCTTAAGTTAGATGTTTGGATTAAAATATTTACAATAATCTTATTGTTATGTATTTTGGGAGGTACTCACAAAGTTACATCAGGTCAACTTCCAGGAGAGATACATTGGTTATCACTGGAAAAAAAATTAGTTGTCAGGTTTATATGATTTTTGGACCATAATTCTCAAAGAAATTTCATATACAAGCTATTCCTTATGCTGTAATAATATGATGAGAAGGGGTGTAAGTCAGCCTCATTTAAGGGTTACAGTTAACAACTGCATCATGATATTTCCATTTGTTTTTCAGTATAAAGAAAGAGGTTCACTAAATATATAGCCTTTATATCAATCAGAATTATCCAGGATAGTACCAATGGGAGGTACACATATATGAAGACAAATATAGAAATCAACCTATATCACTCTCTTTGTAAACCTCTATCTACACATACATCTATATCTAAAGATATATATTATTAGGTTTGGGACACCTTATTATGGAGTCTGAGAAGACCTGTGACCTGCTATCTGCATGGTAGAGAGCCAGGAAAGCTGAGGCAGTTGTCAGGTTTGAAATCGAAGAACCGATGGTATACATTCCAGCCCAGGTATGAAAACCTGAGGACCAACAGCATGGAGGGCGAACTAAGATTCATTCAGCCAGCCTTCCTCTGCCTTTCTGTTCCGTACAGGCCCAGAAAGGACGAGGTGACACTCACATACAAACGGTGCTGTGATCCACTTTACTAAGTCTACTAAGTCAACACTGATCACTTTTAGAAACACACAGACACACACAAAAATAATGATAACTGGATATCTGGGCAATCGAGACCATGTCAATGTGACACAAAATATGAACCACCACAAGTCCACCTGCTGTCAGCTCAGTTACCACACATAGCTAGTGGTAAAGAATCCGACTGCCCCTGCAGAAGATGCGAGAGAAACAGGCACGATCTGCAGGATGAGAAGATTCCTTGGAGAAAAAATGGCAACCCACAACAAATTGTGGAAAAGCCTGAAAGAGATGGCAATGCCAGACCACCTGACCTGCCTCCTGAGAAATCTGTATGCAGGTCAGGAAGCAACACTAAGAAATGGACATGGAACAACAGACTGGTTCCAAATTGGGAAAGGAGTACATCAAGGCTGTATATTGTGACCCTGTTTATTTAATTTATATGCAGAGTACATCATGAGAAATGCCAGGCTGGATGAAGCACAAGCTGGAATCAAGATTACAGGGAGAAATACCAATAATCTCAGATATGCAGATGACACCATCCTATGACAGAAAGCAAAGAGGAACTAAAGAGCCTCTTGATGAAAGGGNCAAAATGTGAAGTACTATTGTAACCTCTGATTTATTTTGTTCCTCACTTGTCACACTCCCATTTATCTATGTCAATTAATTCTCTGATTCTGGAACTGTTCTCCATTGTGCAAGCATGCTCAATTGTTCAGTTGTGTCTGCATCTTTGCGACCCCATGGACTATACAGTCCATGGAATTCTCTAGGCCAGGATGCTGGAGTGGGTAGCCTTTCCCTTCTCCAGGGCATCTTCCCAACCCAGGGGTCGAACCCATTTCTCTCTCACTGCAGGCAGATTCTTTACCAGCTGAGCCACAAGGTAGCAATACTTATATCAAATGAAATAGACTTTAGAACAAAGACAGGAACAGGAGACATAGAAATATACTACATAATGATCAAGGGATCATCCAAGAAGATATAACCACTGTAAATATGTATGTACTTCACATAGAAGCACAATACAGAAAGCAAATATTGATGAACATAAACGAAGATATTGACAATAACACAATCATATCAGGGGACATTAATACTCCTCTTACGTCAATGGACGGATCATCCACACAGAAAATCAGTAAGGAAACTGATGTTCAACGATTCTTTAGATCAAATGGGCTTAATAGATATGTATACAGGACATTCCACCCCATAACAGCAAAAGCACATTGTTTCAAATACACATGGAACACTCTCCAGGACACCTTACGAATGGCAGCACCCAAAAACAAGCCTTAGGAAATTTAAGAAAATTAAAATCAGATCAAGCATTCTGACCACAGTGCTTTAAGACTAGAAATCAATAATGAGAAAAAGAAATCCCTCCAGAAAACACAAACATATGGAAGCTAAATAACACACTACTAAAAATTCAACAGATCAATGAAG